ATGGCTAAGCGAATACAAAATATACCAAAAAACACAAGAAAAACATAAATCAAACCTCACCTAATCTAACTGACTCTCAACATATGATGGAATCACCTATTTCTTACCTTATTGGCCTGGTTCTTGTTCGTCGTTGAATTCTGAGGTTCTTACAGGTTGCTGACGCTGATTCTCGCTTAACAGAGGGTATAGGCGGGCAGCTTCTTCCAAGAAGTGAAGAAGACACTTTACTGAGGTTGGAAGAACACCATGCAATTGAAAAATGCTAGAGTTTCTTAGTTTTTTTCCCAAAAACTCGCAAATCAGCTTCATATAATTTAAGTGACACCCATCACAAATTTCCATGGTCGGAAATGAACATGAATTTGGAAATATGAGAGACCCAAAATAAAAATCGAATTTGATTGGGCCAAAAATACCGTAAATTTAACCCAAAATCATTTTAATTGGTTGCAAAAAAAAACCGCTTTTGATTGGCCACGTGACATGTACTGGAACGCATGCGCGTGATGATTTATGGAGGAGACATGCAGTGTGGGAGGTGAGGTAGGCGATACTAGTGGAAGAAAATAGAGAAAATTTTGGATGCGCTATCTCCATTATTATACCTTTGCGACGATAATGTAATAGATGGAAATTATCTTATAATTAGACGTCTTATTCGAATATGATAATAGATTAGGGGTAGGAATGGGTGTGAAAATGCAATAATACCTTTATCCTAAATTTGTGAAGAATCTCAACCAATGGCTGGGCAATCCCAGTACATATAGTAATCGGGGAAAAGGAGATTTGTCGAATTAACTTGTCATGGGTGTGGCGAGAAGGGCCACATTCGACCTCAGTGCCCCCAGAATCCTTTTGTTTTTAAACAAAGGCCTACTACCAGTAAAAAGTCATAAAGTTGGATTTTGTTTTGAGGATAGTGCTCCTCCCCCCTTTTTAACAACTGGAACAGTCAATGGATCTTGGGTCTCTACCATACTCAGGGATACTGGATGTTCATGTATTATGGTATCTGAGGAAGCTCTTCCTGATGTTGATATATCCAACTGCAAAATGGTTAAAGTATCTGACTACTTGGGACATGTTAATATTTTCCTTGAAGTTAAATGTTACCTTAAATGTCCCATTATGAGGGGTGGGCAAATATTTTGAGAGCCCCCCATTAAAATTTGCAGTGTTCTAATCAGAAATGTATTGGGTGCTACCAGCCCTAGTAATAGCAATGTTGTATCCCACCATGAATCTGCTAAAAGAAAGGAGAAGATTCAAGCGGTTCAAACTAGATCTACACGAGCCATGAGAGTACATCCATTAATTCTTCTTAAGTTAAAGCCTTTGAATATTACCCCTCAATAATTTTCTAATTTACAGGCTACATGTCCCTCGCTAGTTTCAGCTCGAGCCAAAGCTCACTCCAGTGAACTTGATGAGGCTAGAGATGGATCTACTTTCAAATATGAGAACATAGATGGTTTGCTATACTGCATCTGTGTCAAAGCCAAGTCTCCAGAGAAAATAGGTAAATGAACCTTGGTTGTTCCTAGTGATTGTAGAAACACTGTTCTCTCAGTTGCTCATGAAAGTCCCTTCGCAGGTCATTTTTCACACAGGAAAATGGAAATGAGAGTTAAAGAACATTTCTTTTGGCCATGTCTCGGATCAACTATTAGAGATTATTGTAGGTCCTGTGATAATTGTCAACGTTTGTCCCCTAAAGAATGTGTAAAACCAGTACCTCTAATACAGATGCCTATTTTGACCTAACCTTTTTCAAGAGTTGCTATAGACCTTGTTGGGCCTTTACACCCACCTTCCTCTGATGGTCATAGATATATTTTAACACTTATTGACTTTGCCACTAGTTTTCCTGAAGCTTTACCTCTGAAGGAAATAGACTCTCTATCTGTCGCTGAGGCTCTCAAAGTCAACTTTTCAAGAGTGGGTATCCCTGGGGAAATCCTCTCTGATTGTGGAACTCAGTTTACCTCTCAGCTTATGGGTGAGTTACACAAGCTATTTGGTGTCAAGCCATTGTTCATGACCCCGTACCATCCTAGTGGTAATGGTAGAATTGAAAGGTTTCTTTCTACCCTCAAGGCTTCACTGAAGAAGCTGTGTGAGGACAAACCCAGAGAATGGCACAGATATCTAGTCCCAACCTTGTTTGCTCTTAGAGAAATCCCCAGTGATAGAACAGGATTTTCCTCCTTTGAACTTTTGTATGGCAGACAAGTGAGTCCAAGTTTTGAGAGACTTGTGGGAGGATAAAACGGTACAAGAAGATGACAGAACCATTTTTCAATATGTTATTGAACTTAAAGTTTATTTACAGGCTTGTGCCAAACTTGCAGCTGATAATACTGATATTAGCTCAGCCAAGTACATGTCATACTTTGATGTCAAATTACAGGATCGTAGGTTTAAGCCAAGTGATGAAGTTCTTGTATTATTACCTGACTCGAAGAGTAAACTTCTCATGTCTTCTTGTGGACCATATAAGATAATTGAATGTAGAAATAAGGTAACCTTACTTAATTGATGTAAATAGACATTCCAAGCTTTATCATGTTAGTCTCCTGAAAAGATACCATCATAGGAGACAAGTGTTGGATGAAGTTTCCACAGTTGATAATTCTGGTAGTCCTTTAATGAATTTGAGGAAGATTCTAGTGCCTTAGCCATAACTCCAGATGGGAAAGATTCCACTACAATCACTTTGGAGACTGACATCCTGAATATTTCTCCTGATCTATCCCCTAAATAGAGATATATTGTAAGTCTGGTGAGTCACTTTGGTCAAGTATTCTTGGAAACACCAGGCTGTACTTCTACCATTCAGCATGATATCACTCTTTCCACAACAGAGCAACTTAAGTCCAAGGTCTACCTCATTCCAATTCATTTAAAGTCCCACTTTGAGGAGGAAGTTGAGAGGTTACTTGACCAGGATAACTTTACAGTGGTAGACCATCTAAATCTCCCCATTGTTCTCCTGTTGTAATGGTTGGTAAACCTGATGGTGACTATCGTATGCTCAACTCTGTAACTGAATTTCATGCTGAACCTATGAGTGTGTTGGATGAAAATCTATATAAGTTCAATAGTTCAACATACTTTTCAGAATTGGACCTTACTAAAGCTTATTACCAAGTCCCACTAAGTGATAAAGCAAAGGCCCTTACTGCCTTTCCCACTCATAAGGGATTAATGTGGTTTTGTTGACTTCCATTTGGATTAGTTACCACTTGTGCTACTTACATCAGACTTATGAGGATTGTATTAGCAGGACTTAAAAATGTTTTTTTTTATTTTGACAATGTTTGTATATTCAGACACCTGGAAGGAACATCTAAGAGCCCTTACTGCTGTTTTGGAGCATCTACAGGATCATGGGTTAATTGTCAGACCAGCTAAGTGTAGATTTGTTTTTAGTTCTATTCAGTATTTGGTCTATGATATTAATGGCAAGTCATTGAAACCTCAGAATAGATTGGCATAGCAGTCTACCATCAAAGATCCTATTTGGCCTTTACAACTAGTGACGTTACCCCAATCGTATTTAGTGCCGTTAATGTTTACTCGCTGTTTCCTGTCCTGTATCCACGCCCTAATCCACTTTAGAATATCTCCTCCAATTCCATAAGCCTCCACTTTTCTTGTTAGTCTTTCCTGGGGGACTCTGTCGAAAGTTTTGCTAAAGTCAAGATATACCACATTATCCACTGATTCGAAGACAGTTGAAAGAATGTTAATAGATTAGTCAGACATGAACGCCCGCTTGTGAAGCCATGTTGGGAGTCATTGATCAACTTATGCTTCTCCAGGTGATTTCGAATAGAGTTTGAAGTGATTGCTTTCAGTAATTTGCCTACAATTGATGTTAAACTGATTGGACGGTAGTTAAAGGATAGTAATCTATCTCCCTTCTTGAAAATCGGTTTTACATACTACACCCGTTTTTAATGACATGTTAAACAAATTTGCTAAAGGCTCTTCCTTACATTCCTTTAATATTCTGGCAAATATCTCACCGGGACCTGGTGACTTATTAGGCTTAGCTTGTCTATTTGCTTACTAACATCGTTACTAGTCACTATTATCTGACTTAATCTATTTTCTTCACTGTCTCTGTATATAGTTGGTGCCTCGGGTATCATATTTAAATTTTCGGTGGTGAAAACTGTTGAAAAATATCTACTCAAAATATTACTAATTTCTCCGTTGTTTTCAGTTAGCTCGCCAGTATCTGACTGTATTGGTCCAATCTTGACTCGGGTTTTAGTTTGATACATTTGGAAGAATCCCTTGGGGTTTGACTTTGCCTCCCTTGCTGCCTTCAGTTCATTATTCCTCTTTTGCCTTTCTTATCTCGGTCTTAAACCCACTGGCCAATACCTTATAATAATCTCGGAGGTAAACTTCATGATTTATTCTCTTGCCTATAGCCTTCCTTTGTCCAATAATATTCTTTAAATAATTATTTATCCATGTGGGGTCATTGTTATTTGATCTGCATTTTCTGTATGGTATGTTCTGCCTTTGTGCATTAAGTAACTCATTATTTAAATTGTTGTGAAACTCATCAACCTCAGATCTAATGATCAGGTCATCCTCAACCGTCATATTTTGTGAAGTTATCGTTGTCAGGTCATCAGGTTAAGTGGGGTCACCCTCTTTGGGTACATTGCATGAGGTCATGTAATTCATCATCAAATGTAATACCCCTCTCTCAGCTGCCCTTTCAACCTATCAAAGTTTGCCCTTCTGATATCTGGGACTTTAATGGAATTTTCCTTGCGACTGACAAAGTTCTACTGTACTTTGAATTTCACTTCTTTGAGATCGCTGTTAGCTAGTTTGTTCCCTACCTCGACATTACTAATGAGGTTTTCTCTATTTGACAGAACTTAATCAAGTACTGTATATTAGTTTACCCCATCAGGCCCTTAATCTGGTCATGAAGTCAAATTAAAGAGGCAAGTAAAACAATAAAATAAGTACCCTATTTATGTACATAGTTACCAGCTATATCTACAATCCATCCTGATGCACCTTAATCTATAAAACTACTGTATTATAATAAATAATTCAAGGCATAATACATCTTAGATAAAAAAAAATTATATGGCCATTGGCTAATGGCTATAGCAAGTGTAATACAATCTTTGTTTTATATTACACTGGAGATAACCACATGAGAAACTTTTACAGGGTGTTTTGGAAATACGTGTGTTGGTCATGTAGTCATTTATCCTTATGTATGTCTGACCTCACAAATACCCCCAGAATTATTAAATTTATTTCTGAAACACACTTGTACAGTGAAGAAATTAATAGTAAATAAAAATCTATTTTTTTGCATTTTTTTAATTTTTTTTTTAAGGAATACAGTATCTAATTTTACTTACATCTTCATATAATAAATTATATCAGGTCTTCTGGTGTGAAACATTTTTGCTAATTTTCAATCTTTCATTGCTGTACAGTCTAACCCTAAGAACCATGAATAAGTGTTGATATAATATTAAAATGGAATAGCTCAATGCTCCTCAGCCTCCTTCATCTTGACAAGAGGTGTGTTCTTTGCTACAGTGTCACCTTGACTGAAGAGGACCTTTTCCACAATACCTGAGCTGGCAGCCTTGATCACATACTGTAGAGAGAATGAATACTCATTATTTTGCATTTTATTGTAGAACTGGTCTAAAATTCATCGTTAAAACATTCAATAATACTGTACTGTGCTGTGCTTAGAAGGATTGTATCCTCCAGTAAACAATTCTCAAATAACTAAGGGTTACTGCTATAAAATACAGAGATATCCCCATTAGCCAAAATAATTGGTGCAGAGCTCTTCAGGGAATGAGCAATTTCTGGTATGGTGCCAAATTTCTTAGCCAAAGAATTGTTCCAGGTACTGGGGAAAGTTTCCAAGAGTAAACCATGCATCTCACATGGACAGTCACAGAGCTGTATTTATTTAAACAAACACTGTACAGTCAGCCAAAGATCCAGCAACCCCACCATGAGTCTCGTATTCGCAATTTTACCTGGCAATACTTGGTAAAGTAAGGCTGGATGTAAATGTGATTGTGATTGGTGGATCTATTTTTGGCTGCATTACTGTCAGGATAAATATTAAACAACACAAAGGAAGATTTTTTAGAATAATAAACTAATCATTATTTAAGACCATGAGAAGTTGCCAAATGTTCTTATATTTGCTTAATTAAAGAAGAAAATTTGATGAGAGAATCTTGAGGCAGTCCTCGTTCCTCATTGTAGTTGAGTTGCCAATTCATTAATATAATTTCTTCATTATTTAACCAAATATATGAATTTTTGGAAACTTCTCATGATCTTAAATAAGAATGAACAGTTTATTATTATGAAAATTCTACCTTTAGATTGTTTAATATTTATCCTGATAGTAAAGCAGCCAAAAATAGATCCACCAATCACAATCACCTTTACATACAACCTTACTTTACCAGGTAAAGTTGCCAGTAAGAGACTCAGGGTGGGGTCGCTGAATCTTTGGCTGACTGTACATGTTCAATATATTGTAAATAAATTATCATACAGCATGTGTAGTGTGTACACTATACTGTACTCACCAGCAGATTCTGTAATCTTGCGCTTGTGATGCATGCAGGCTAAATGGTGATATGATGATACAGGATGACCTGCCTTTGTCCTGTACCATCAACTGTAGCAGGTGTTACTAACTGTCACTCTCTTCTCCCTCCATACAAGAGGGATTGTACAGTCTCGTTCAAGATTCTTCGAACACTGCTGGAGACAGCTGGCAACTGAAGGCTGTTTACTATACCGTAGTAAAAATTATGTTTAAATGTAAAAGTGATCGGTGATAAGTTACTTAGTTCCCTGTTGATTAATTTAATTGTTGGACTTAATTGTTTTGTATTATATTATACTACGTACTATAGTAAACAAACGGCCTTGAGCTGCCAGCTGTCTCCAGCAGTGTTCGAAGAATCTAGAACGAGACTGCACACGCACTGTATACTATACACTAACCTACAATAGGAATACGTACACTCTCCACTCTGCTATGTACAGTAGGTACTTTCACACTTACTGAATGTACAGTTGCCTGTTAAAGCTGTTAACCAATTTTTGGACAGATAGTGTCTTGTGATACTATTACATTCACTTACTTTATCTAGGGTCAGTCAACCTAATTATCTACTGAAGAAAGTTCAAACAGTGTAAAACAGTTGCAAAGTTTATTGTTGCTCTCCCACCAAGGACTCCCACTACCCATTCTTGATCAAATTACATTGGCTTCTAATGACTTTTTAGACACTAATGTTTGGTGACCCAACGTACTAATTCCTCTCATTACACATTCCAAAATGATTTTGCATTGTAGTGATGATCCTTCACACCTTGAGGAGCCTTGAGCGTTACGGGAATGTTCTTTTGTTGCCCGATCCTTTTCCTATACAGCACCCAGATTGTACATTGGTTGCCTGCATCAATGAAGCAACGAACTTCTTTGGAGGCCTTTAATTTAAGAAACAATTTAAGACCTTTTTCTTTTTAAAAGCTTATGATCTTGAACAGGGTACGGTGATGGAGAATTAGTGTTTAGGACTTATTAAAACTTAAGATATATGGATAAGAGAAGTCAAACTGTCACTTTTTGTGATCTTTTATTGTAGTACAGTATTTCTTTTTATTCTCAGATCTTTGACTTTGTAGTGTTTTGAACGCAAGTGAATTCTTTAGAAGAACTGGCACTTTTGAGAAACAAATGACCAGATATTATTATTACTCCCTGTGGTGACGTTTGCATACATGTGACAGCAATGCATTACTAGAGAAAACTTATGAATGAATCTGCAGAAGTATTGTAACAATGGAGCTTTTATACGCTTTGCTTGGCAGTGGCCAGTATGGGGGTATAGTAAGAGGAGGAGTGTTTGTTGCACCAAGGGAACAGGCACTGACTTAGTCCTACTATAATGAGGCCAGGGGTAGACTATGCTGAATCAGCTTAATGTATCTACCTGGGTCTTGAGACATAACACAAAACCACCAGTACCTCTCAACTGATCGCCCTAAACACACCCAGGCTTTCTGCAACATGTAAGCATACTCGTAAACCTATTATGTTTCATCGTGGACGTGAAGAATATTAATTGAGCAGCTTCTGTGGCTATGCAGCTATGTACCTTCAGTTCCCCTCTTGTAAATTTATTACAGGTACGTATTTGTATTTGACAGGTTTGACTGAAATAAACTGTATTGAGTTGACGTGGCAGGTTGATCTCCTTACAGGGCGATTATAAGCTGATTGGTGGAAAAGATGCCTAGATACAATTTTGCTTGACAATAATGATAAATCAATATAATGTACAATACTGTATAAATATAATATTAACTCAATAAAATACTGTAAAATACAGGTATCTCCAATCTATGATTTACTTTAATGATGGTGATGTATTAAGACCAACCCCCTATTTACGATGTAAACAATCCACATGAATGATGGTCATCGTTCGGCCAATGTGGACGCGTCTCTCGGTTCACTTGTCAACTGTGGTCTACCCAATCACTGGTGCATTACACTACCAAGCTTTGTTCCATGGTGATTGCACTTGACCGCGATCATGTAAATCATCGATTATAATCGATAATTTACACGATTATACTGACCAATAATTATTGGTCAGTATCAATGTTGTTATTTATCATCAGTGTTTTTGTTTTGTTTTGTTTTTTACCTTAAACGTGAAAGGGTATCATTAACATTCTTATTATACTCTATTTTTGAGACTGTTGTGAACATGAAGTGAGCGGTCTCGGCCACAATATCATCATCATCGTTCATTCTGTTTTTGTGACAAGTGCTTTCGCTCTGTTTTTGTGACTGTGAAATTTGAAAATATTTGGGAAGGCCAAGGCATCCAGGAAAACCATATCTCTGGAGGTGAAGCTTGATAATGTAAAGCTGTTGACTCCACAGAGGCTGTGTGGGAGTCAGAGTACAGTACTCCACCTTCAAGAGACTGCGTAGCCCCAAAGGGGACATGTAATGATGACCAGGCTTTTCTTAATGATATGGCGATTGTTGTTTAATTGTGTTGTAGGTATATTATTAGTGTAGGATTTTGTTTTGTTTTCTTTTTTCCCAGTGAAACATGTGGGTGTCTGAATGGCTGGGAATGTATTCCATTGAACCCCATGCTATAATGATCCTGATTTATGATATTTCAACCTATGATGGGTTTTTCAGGAACCTAACGCCATCATAAATAGGGGGATACGTGTACACATAGATGCTATGAATAAGGAAGAATACTAATATGAGTGATAAAGCTTTAAAAATAAAATGCATATGAGAAGTGTGTTATTCATAATTATCATAGACCAGGAAGTTTCTTCACACATGGATACTAGCACCACTACATATGTCCTTGGCAAATCACACAATGGTTTAAAGTATTGAAACCCTCAGGAATCATATAATGTGGAGGTTGATTAATGCATTGTTTTTGCATCCCATTTTTCATTTTTATTTTAGTCTTTCCCTTACTACTTTATCTTTGAGAAATATCTTTATCCTCGTGGGGAACCCCTGAAATAGAAACGGAAAAAGGAGGAATTGAAGAACCTGCAATCTCACCTCAGCTACAGTGTCAGCTGTGGTGACCAGGACAGCCATACTACATACTCGCTCACCTCAAGATGAATTTGGAACCACAATAATCCTAAGTACATTCTCTACAAGACTGTTTTAATAAAAGATCCTTAACAAAATATATTAACAATATTATAATGATGGACTCAATTCTTTTATAAACAAATATTAATCTCCATTTACATTTCTGCCAGCAATGCCATCCCATTTTCTTGCAATGTTTGTTTTAATCTCATTTCCTGCTCCTCAAATGACTTTGGTTACAAATTCATAACTGAGGACCTAACTTTAAAATTCATTCACCCATCCTAGTCTCATAACTTCCCCTGGCCCTCTTACCCACTACAGTATTCTAGCTATTAATATTGCTCCCATTATTCTCTAATTATACAGCCAAAGTACCTGTATCTCATTTTTCTCATTCCATAAATTTCCAATATTTCTCTAAGACTAGGGTACGTATTATGAAATGCTGTATCATATTTACCTCCATCTTCATAGCTATCATAACCACTAGAGGATCACCAGCCTCCACAGTTTGTCCTGGGTTGACAAACACCTTCTCAATTATACCTGGCATTGGGGCAACTGCTCCACCAGTCACACTGCCAGCTTTTCCTATTTCTTTTTCAAACTTAGGTGCTGGAATGGACATCTTCCACCCACCAGTCTGCAAATAAGAGCAAAAAATGAAAGGCTGAAATACAATAATTCTCATACTGTACCTTGCATGAATATATCATTCATGAACATACTTTTCAGGAGTAATAAAAAAAATATATTATTTTTTTTAATACTATTTGCATCACCTCCCATTTTGCATTAGCCCCAAGGCAAGTGATAAGAATTAGGAAACATATGTATTTTGTCAGAGATGCAAATTAAAGTGATTGAACATTTTGAAAAGGGAGAGTGCACTGTTGACATTACAGGTGTAATTGGCAGTCATAACACAACCGTACATATAATTTGTGCCAAGCCAGGTTATTACAACAGTTCAAAACTCTTACTCTCACAACATTGTCTTGTAGGTTATTACTGCATAATAGTTTGCAACTCTGACAACTTCTGGTTTCTTTAACTTGTGGTAGTAGCCTCTTTTGTAAGAAAACCACTTGATATGTTTTTTAGTGTTTAATTTCTTGGAGAATCATTGAATATTTTACATACTGTATATGTTTCATTAAAAATTTTTTTATAAGTTTAATGAATAAATATTAAACAAAGACTGTCGATCAGCTGATGGAAATGTAGCTTCTTTTGCCCTCAATAGATGGCAGCACAAGCAGACACATCATCTGCTAGCACAGACCAGTACTACACAGTTCCCTCATGACACGGGTCACATTGATTCTGAACAACTGCAGTCCGGGAAGCAGTCGTTCAGAAAAGGAGTGTTATAATTTATTAATAAGAGTTCTCAAATGATGGAATTATTGTTAAAATTAGAAAAGAAAAAGGTTTCTTAATTGTTTACTTTATCCTCTTCACCACTGGTTGGCTTATTACCATACCTACCATACATAAGTGTATCCTCTTTGCCTTAAAGTGTAAGAACATAAAATACAATATATCTTTACTGTTTCAATATCTTCTGCAGATTCTGGATATACTGTAATTGTCACCACAAACAATGAATTTTTGCATACACATTGAGGCTGCCACTAACTGTACATAGAGATAAGCAAATGGAGAGAATGGAGATCAATTAGTTCAAAAGATACACGAGTTTGAGTGTGGAGGTGAGAAGAGCTTCAGGTATGCCAAGAATGATATAAGAATAGGCTATGAAAAATGAGAGAAGCTGCAAGCGACCATGCAGCTTGGAGACCTGCCATCAGGTAAATTTTGCTAATCCAAGCAAACATGGAAAATGCCCATAAAACATTAAATAACTAATACAGAAGTGTTTGTACACCCATGTTGAAGTGTTCTTCCAACCCTACTGGAAGTGTCCTTTATACTGTATGTGTGTAATGCTTTCTATGAAAATTCATGGATCCATCCCTGCTCCCAAAAAAAACCCCTCAGAACTCCCACTGCACAGGGAGGGTCTCTAGTTATAGTGTTGTTGTCATAAATCATTTTCAGATCTCCTGTAAGTCATAAAGTACTGTATATATGTACAGTATAGGAGGATGGGTATGAAACAAGGAGTACACACATATTTGAACTTATTATAATGATCTCAAACACCAGCACGAATAACAGGAGCTATACCAGTAGTTATTTGATAACAGGCTTACCTCTGTGAATACATGAATGTCCTTATCCTCCATCACAATATGGGAATAGGATATACACCCATCAATAGATGCAGACAGCTGGCGGACATTGTTGTTGCATACGAGGGATCCACTCACATCAAAGCTTGCTGTGCCCACAGTCATGTGGTACTTTCCTGACCCTAGGTAATAAACCTGGACACTTGTATCTGCAAAATAAATAAAATGTTGGCAACAAAAACAACTCAGAGATAAGTTTAAGGTAATCTGGAGGACTAATTTTCTCCTGGAGACATCCTTCATCCCACTGATGCATCACTCTTCCTGCCAAATATCACACTGTAAAACTCCTTCATGATCCTTCATAACATCCTTAACCCCTACGCCCCGGTTGACGTTCCGGAACACGCACCTTTTTGCGGCATTGTTTGAACGCCCAGTGCGGCTTATCAGGTTCCAGCATGACTATATGCCTGTCATGCCACAAGCTCAGCCACAGGGAAGCTTCCTGAATGTAAGTACAGTACCTACTTTTGTTTGTTTCATTTTTATTGATTGTCCATTTTATCATGTTGTATCAAAGTAATAATGCTAAAAGTAGTGTACAGTGATCCCTCGGTTAACGAAATTTCGGTTAACAAATTACCTTCCATAAGAATATTCAATTCGGTTAACGAATTCCTTACGAATTTTTCCCAACATGTTTTCACCTGCTTTTGCCTGCTCACCAGCTGTAGTATTAGTCCACCAATACAGTAATCGGTTTTAGGGCTTAAATTCGTTACCATTTGAGTAAATATCAAGAAGGTTGTACTATTCAATAATTTTCCAAGTCTTATATTAAAATTTTTAGTCATTTTAACAATTATTTAACATAACTGAAGTACAGGGAACTAGTTTTTAGTGCGCCAAACAGCCACTTGACTCACCCAAAATGGCGTCAGTTTGTGTCTCTGCTCAGTGGAGGAAGCATCTTGCTTGAGACTCTTGAACATAAACTATTTTTACGTTTTTACAGTACAATTATTAGTCATTGTGAAATTTATTTTACATTTTGACAATATATAGTGCAGTGCAGTGTTGATTTAAAGAAAATAATCTTGAATTACACCTAGTGAACTTAAAATTTTATGGGTGAAATGACGGCATGAAGCATGGGGTGACTTCTCTTCTACCCCCACTTCCTTCTCTTCTCCCTTCTCCTCCACCCCCACTTCTAATTCCCATCATCATCATCATCATCAACCAGGAGCCTTCTACATGCACACCTCAAAGTAAGTGTACTTTACTGCATTTATTTTTAGTTTGTATGTAATTTTCAGTGAGCTGGAACCAATTACCCAAAATCCCATTGAAACAATGGTTTCGGTTAACGAACGACCTTCTGGAACGAATGTGTTCGTTACCCGAGGGACCACTGTAGTTGTATTGTAGTGTAGTATTACTGGAAAATAATGCTGTGATTATGTTATAAATGTATTTATTTGTGGAATTGCAGTGATGCTGTAGTGACGATGCCGTTCTGCCATTTTAAAATGGCAATGACGCTTAATGGGTTAACAGAAGACCTACCTCAAAAGGGAGAAGAAGGGTACTGGAAATGGTATGGAAAAACAAAACAAAGAGAAAGAAAGTACATGTTGACATTAGGGCCAGTGGGAACAAACTGTGGCCGAGGTTTATGAACTGCCTACCAACCTGAAGTTAAAAGATTCCATAGAAAATGGGAAGGGTGACTTGAGTATTTTGTTCCTAGTTTTTACTATTTTGCAAGAAGTATTAATGTAGCCCAGGGTTGCTTTGCATCTGGATGTCAATGTGTTTCCAGATTCGCTCCTGTTGTATATATGATAGGAGGGCTAAGGTATGACCCTATAGCAACGTACACTAGCTGAAACCCATGCCACTAAAATAGGAAACATTTCCAAACAGTAATAATACAATATAAAACACACAGTACACTATCACCTTGCAGTTAAAGTTTAACAAATTACATTAACCACTGATTGGCATATGCATTACAGAAGGAAATTAAAAAAATCAGTTAAACAGGTTACCTGTTCCTTCACATTTGAGATTTATGATACGTGAAAGTTGATGGTTGATCCTTGGAGTTGCTCCAGGCCTAAAAGGTGAAGTGGGATCCTGTGTAGCAGCTACAGCACGCACTCCTTCCTGTTCCTCCTCCAGTATTAAAGCCAAGGCACACTGTAATTGTTAAAGCATCATTCATTCTTACTTTCTAAAGATCTGCAGAAGGAGTTTTCTAATAATAAAAATCTCTTCATAATAGTCTGTGAAGGTAACATGACAGCATAAAGGAACAGAATTAAATTTTTTACAGGTTGTATACGAAGATGATGCTGTCACATTCAATGACTCCAATATAGAGCTTGGTATTACAGTAAATTGTTGTGGATAAATTATGGACGAGGAGAATACATTGAGTGAATGCAAGTAGGACCTACACTTTAGTGTTCAATGGTCATGATCAAAGTCTTTTTAACTCCTGTAAGCCTCCTCCCACCTGGTGCAGGGCAGCAAGACTAAATAACAATGCGAATACTAGAGGTTCGGGGTCAGGAATGGGGAGTAATTATATATTTACGAAATCACAATTATGTGAAGTTCGCGAAGCCAGAAAAAGTGAATATCAAGGGTCTACTGTTTATGCAACACACTGTAATGAGAGTTCTTTTATTTCATTGTTAGATTCCTCAAAACCACGACTTTAAGTGAAATGAATTTAAGTGAAAACAATTTTACCAATACAGTAATATACAGTAAATAAGGGTTATGTCCTTGGGTACATTTCTGTTCAAAAATTTCTTACAACTAGCCACAGATGTTTCACTTTCACCTTGTTTTAAAGTTTCAAATAAACTTAAGAGCTTTCACCTGTATGAAGAGCAACAAGAATGGAAAGTTTTGTTGATGTTGATCCTCGATTCACATGTTCAGCATTCTTTCCATATTTTCCATAATGCCACTTCTGTTACGAGTTAACTTTGTAGCAGATAATGGAGTAACACTTTTAGCACATGATTTGATATTTTCTGCATTTCCACAAGTTGCTCTTACCTACAGTTGTAGACTACAAACCGACAGCTCTTGCTTTCTGTCCACAGCTCACTGTCCTTCTAATCTATTTACCACATCTAATTTATCTTCTTATGTAACACTTTTCCTCTTCTTTCTATGAGCCACATCCAGTAGTGGTGCATAATGCACGTTTAGCATTCATGATTCCAGGGCTCAAATAAATTAATAATTGGTTTTTAAGTGAATGTTGGAAGAGCATCTACCAACCACCGAACAATAAGAAATAAATATGGCATCCACACTAGTCGCTTACACAGCCAGCTGTTATCACAGTCAGGCGCTGATTGCCTTCGTACCAAATTTTTTAAATTGTACATTTATCATGAAAAAATTTTCATACATATATTTTTTCAACGATGTTATAATAAAATGACGTTGACTGAAATGACGTTAATAGGGGAATTGGTGAAAAGCAAGGCAAGGAGGTGGGAGAATGGAGGGGAAAGCGAGGTGTGGGTGAGGGGAGGATTGCGTGAGATGTAGGAAAGAAGGAAGGGGAGAGCATTGGTGTGAGGAGATATGCTGCAGAAAGACCACAGACCCTGTATATTTCCTGGTGTCATGTGCAATTTTTTTTCCAGGGTTTGCTTGACTCACTAACTGAGAAAAATTTTGTCATTTGACTAGGAGACAATTTCTTACCATCTTGTGATGAGAATACACAGGGGCCTCGATTAGGGAATCTGGTTAACCATTCTTGAAGAATCTTAACTAGGCACAATATGAGGAACCCTTGTCTCATCCATTAGCAGTTTTATCCTGATAGGTTGAGCTTGAAAATCCTCCCTTTCATTTTTCTTAGAATCTCCATAGGAAAAAGGGTGACATCTTCCTCAGAAAATACCAATAATGATGGATTATTGGAAATTGAAATCAGCTAACTGATTCTCATACCTGTTGCTATTGCTAGAAGGAAGGCTACCTTCTGTAGCAATCTATCCCGGTTCAGATTTATATTGTAATTATTCCCCATAAGAAATTTAGTACTGTAACTTCATCTAGAGACCAAGGTGGGATTCTCTTAGGCCGAGGGGGTCTCTGAATGAAAAAGGACGATCTGAGCATTTGATAAATTCTTGGGTTCAAAGTAATATTAAAACCCCACACCAGAGGGTCAACCAATGTTGATTTATAAGATGTAATTGTAGATCCTTGAAGGCCATTAACTCTGAACAGAAAATCTAAAAATTCTAACACTACTGTTTCCGACAATGTGATTGGAGTCGTTAACCTGATAAATTATTGAAAAAGTTTCCAAGATTTCTCATATTGCATAGAAGTTTGGGGTCTATGACCTGCTATCACTTGGTTGACTACGTATATTGGAATTACCCAACAATCTATTTAAACATCTTTTGAGAAACTCCAAGCGTGAAGTGCCAAGGATATCTCGAACTGAGGGTGCAGTACCTGGTCCAGACATCCTTGTTGCAATTGTAGTGGATGCGGGCACCATTCCAAGAGATCCATACACCACGGATGTAGGATCCAATATGGTGCAAGTAAGAGGACCTTTCCTTGGAAGGATCTGAGTTTTTGAACCACTTTGGGCAACATTTTCACAGGTGGGAACAGATAGATTGAATTCCAACGGTTTGAATCTATGAGCAGAGCATTTCCTAAAAGATTCGATCGCTCCAAAGATGCATAAGTTGGCACCTTGTGATTGTTTTGCGGAGTCCCAAACCTCCTCACTAGACTCTTGAACTTAGATATTTTTAGGGACCATTCTGTTTCCGTCGATAATGGCCTGAGACAGGATAACGCATCTGCCCAATTGTTTTGTACTCCAGTTATGTTTATGTATTTGTCTCAAAGGGAGTTGCTTCACTTCCCTTGATGGAACTCTCCTTTTGAGGAATGGTATCCTCATCCTATCTCAAACGCTTCTGTACAAACTACCAAGTCTGTTTGAGGGGGAACCCAGGGAGATGAACCGATTAGATTGTCCAAATTTGTCCACCATGACAGATGAATCTTATCTGAATAGGGAGAGAAGAAGCAATATTTTTGTTTCTGTGAAGCAACTTCAACTCCAGATGAGTTAGTTGCTTGTTCCTTAACGTGCCCAAAGGAACTACTATGGTGGCAAAATTCAACAGACCCAGTAGTTTTTACCAATCGTGCCAAGAAACTTCTTGCTTTACACAAAAGGCTTCTATTGGTTTATCACATGTTACCTTTGCTTCTGGTAGTCTGACTGACTGCTTATTGGTGTCCCAATAGAGACCTAACCAAATCCAATTTCTGACATGGTAGGAGATTTGATTTGACCCAGTTTATCTTTAATCCTATGTTTTGAAATAGTACATCGGGTTGCCTTTTGACAGTCTGCGAAAAAGTTTCCCACTGTCAGCCAATCGTCTAGATAAGCAAAAGTTCTTATGCCCTCCTCCGCAAAGATCTCCCTGGGGATGTTTGCCAGTTTTGTAAACACTTCTGGTGCAATTGACAGGCCGAATGGCATCACTGTGAATTGATAACTTACATCCCCCACTGCGAACACTAGAAACTTTCTGTACCTGGGAGCAACAGGTACGTGATAATAGGCATCTTCGAGATCCACTTTTGAGATCCAAGCATTGGGCAAAAGTAGATGCCTCAGATGATCCTAAGTGAGCATCTTGAAACTTTTTTTTTGGTAATGAACTTGCTCAGAACGGAAAGATCTAAAATCCACCTCAATTTGTTGCTGCCTTTCTTGGGGACTGGGAACAGGTGAGACAATGAAACACTTCTCTTACTGCACCAGTTCTATCACACCTCTGTTTACAGCTGAATTACAAATTCTGTGAGTAAGGGGGTTGGTTTTTTTACCCCTTTTTGGTAACACTAGGGGAGGGCGCCTCAACCAAGTCCATGTAAAGCCCCCTTTGATTGTCTTGTAAGCCCATATGGAAGAAGTCCACCTGTTTTCCCAACCCCTTAGACGACCCAGCTGTCTGGCTTCATTGGGAGGGAGTGGTCGCTGATGTGGTGGAATAAGGTCTCCTTCCACTTCTGAACAAACGGCCACCCCTACTACGTCTTGAATTGTTTCCTCCTCTAAGGGTTCCTCTAGGTTGATAACTGAACCTAGCAGTTGATCCTGTTCCCTTGTTAGACCTTCCTCTTTTAAATTTCTGAAAGTTCTTAGAACTGTTGGGAACAGTAATATGAATAGCTTGCTGAACAGCTGATCTATACTTAACTAATGTTTATTCCTCAAAAAAGTAGGAGAAAGAGGGGAAGAACGTAGCAATAAATAAGCACTACCACTTAAAGCATTATTAGTGACTTGCTTCCTTAGCTGGACTTTTAGTTTTAGGGCTTTCAACATTTCCATAAATGAATTGTACAGGGAATATAGAATCTATTGTATAGCAGCAGCAAAACATGTCTACTTCTGAACTGTCCTAATTGTCCAGCACCAACTTACCGTATTCAATAACTGACACATCATGATTGCAGACCAAATATCCGCTGCCAACTTCCTAAATTTGAACTCTTCCTGCAACAGTGCAGAAGCAATTGGTTTCAAATTTATTTCATAGCTTATGTCAGCATATTTTGGAGCTGACAAATACTGGGAAAGTTCATATAAGGAACTCTTTTTTTTGTCATTGCATTGGAGCTTCAAAAAACTAAACTTGTGAGCATTCCTATCTGAGGGAATGAATGGTAAGTCTTTCAATATATTAGTCCAGACTTAATCTATTTCAGAGATCATTTTTGGGCAAATATCAGGCCAAGAAATTGTAGTATCACATTCTAAAAACAATGAATGATGACCCACAGTTGCTTGGCCTTCCTGGCTCTTTTTAAGTGCTGAGAGATCAGGTAGTTTAGAAACCTTTTCATAAAATATCTTGAATAAGGAATCCAAAGACTCGGATGAGGTTGAAAACAAAGAAGACTTAGATCTTACCACTGTTACCCAAGGCCTGTTTGGATCATCCTTACACTCAATGTTCTCCATTAGCTGCGTGGCAGTTGACAGCAGCCTGTTTCCACTCATAGTAACCAACACTTTTGCCCCAGGTGGAAGTGGTTACCAAAATGGGGACAGGATGAAGTCAGTCTCAACAGGTTCTCCCTGCTCTAGTGACTGAACACTATTAGTACCAACTTCCTCATCCTGATTCTGGAATCCACTAAAATTGGGCTGACTAGATAGAGATTCTTGCCTTAAATATCCAATAACCTACTTTTCTTAGCAGAAGCAGGTTGGTCTAACTGGGGATTAAGTCTCTTACCTATCTCCCATAATTCTAAACTTTCTGCCAACTTGGGATCTTTCCAGTGTTTTACATTTAGAATTTTACTCTTTAAGGCCTTATTCCATCTATTTTTAATTTGGATCTTTGATAATTCCTTCTTATCTCCTGCAGCTTGATTAATTTATAAAATTTGATTATAAGAAACTTGCACAATCCAATGGTGAAAACAGGTTGTGTCTCAGAAAACAGGTTGTCTGAGACACAGCTGCTATGAATTAAACAAGCCAAATGAGGATCTAACTTGGTAATCCTAGTTGCCCTACATCCTTGATAATTACATGTCGTATGTTTCCCTTGGGTCATGGGTGAAACTACTCCTTCTGAATTCACATCTTTGTATGTAGTGTATGAGCTGAGCTCTCCATTCCTTGCAGCTCCTCAGTCAACACTAGTTCCCCAGGGACCGTTCCATGGTCTCCTCCTTCATTTAGCAGTCCAGACAACTATCCTTCATCCTCCAGTTGCACATCACTCATCTAAACTAGGAGGAACACTATGAGTCACATTGTATCATCATAAGGGAGATAACATTTTCTCCCAAACATAATCAATATGACTCGTAACTGTGATATTTTAGCAAGTTATTTAATTTAATATCTCTTATTTATATAAGTCACCAGTGTGACAATCATAAACAACTAACTCACTATATCATACACTCACTATATCATATCACTAAGACTAACAGCCTTGCTAAAGTTCGCCTGGAAAGGCTGAACCCGCTCCTGAGGACATTAATAAAATAGAGCTATGAAGAGAAAAACTTAACTCTGACCTAAATGCCATGAGTACAACATAACTCTAGATTGCTACTAAGACCGGAAGGTCAGTGTCCGGAAGGATCACTAAGTCTTAGTGATCCTTCCGGACACTGACCTTCGGTAAAGCAGCCTCGGTAAAGTTTGCCTGGATAGGCTAAGCCCGCTACTGAGGACATTAATAAAATAGAGCTATGAAGACTTAACTCTGGCCTGCATGCTGAGATTAATCGGAAAACCCAGGGCAGAAGCCCGAAAAGTTTCGTGAACGAAAATGAGAAGAGGGCCACATAGTATATCATGGTATTCATTACTTGCACGTGAATAATAGGGACAAAGAATTTTTTTTCTTATACAGTATACAAATCTATATATACCTGTATATTCTATCAGTGAAAACGAGCCCAGAAGGGCATAAAACAATGTCATCGGCTAAGTGACTTGAAAGCAGAGGAAATTAGTCACAAAAGATCGACTGTCTTTTTAGAGATAGAAGACGAGCCGTGGCCGTCATACTTGACCAGGCTGAATAAGAAATTGCCTCAAACACAATATCTGAGAGACATAATCAAAATAAATGTCACTCGATTTCCTCACCGTGCTAAGATGTATAAATACCAAAAACAAAATCCTCGTGGCACATAATATTTCAGCTGTTACAACACAAATTAGCGGAGCTTTCCTTGCGCATATTTACAGCTGATTCACCAGGCAAGAAGATGACAGTAGCAATGCGTGTGATGGAGGGTGAGGGAGGGGGTTTTGAGAATTGCAATTAAATGTCAGGTAGCAACGTGTCCTCCTAATATTACATATTTAAGTAATTATTAGATGTTTTAATTGCCTGTATGTTGGCCTGGCGAATTAATGCTAGGCATTTACATACCTAGGAATAAAACTAGACGTCTCATTCTGGATTAAACAAAAATAAGTGTATCTAACCTAAATTACGGGTAGGACAATAACGTAGCTCACAACTTAGCCTCACTCGCTCTGAGTGCTACTGGGTGGTGAGTGGGCTACACAATTACATGCCATCTCCATGGATATTATTCCTCGTTATTCTTTGTTTAGTAATAATTTCGCTTAACATTAGGTTTCTCAGAGACACATCCCCATCGTCGAACGAGGGATACCTGTACAGTATTTGAATTTTGTCAGCCAACAACTTTCTGGATTATTTGCCACCCCTGATGTTTCGCCACTCATCACCTCGATAAAATAAAAAACAGTAAATACATGTACCCGTGCAAGAACACATTGTGAACCAAAGTACTGTACTAAGTGAGATGTTATATCATAATATATAGGGTTATAAGGTTAGCTATTCTGGCATATATGCAAATCTGAACTTGGGTAGTCAATAAACAATGTCAACAAATTGATGAGATGATATTCACTAGAAGTAATATTTACTTAAATGATGACACCAAGAATTGCAGTATTTCCTGTCAATAATCCCCGAGTTTTCTTAACCTCTCAATATGGGGATGCCACTTTCAATATATTATTTGGCTAATGCCAGACAATTTTATTCAGCATAAAGATACCCCATACACAAGGGAATAATAAGCTATCTCCACTACCCCCTTCAATATGGAGACGCCACTTTCAGTATTTTATTTTGCGAGTGCTAGATGATTTTATTCGGCACAAAAAGACCCCCATACACAAGGGGTTAAAGTGGTTGGGCGCTTCACTTTTTCTTAGTAAATAAGCAAGCCATGGGAAAGCAAATCTGCAATATCTACTCTCAATGGCAATCAGCTAAGAATTAAAAATGGTGGATTAACCAAGAAAAAATGAAGTACAGTATCCAAACCTTCATTTGGTGAGAAATGTATTAATTAGTTACACACAGCTTACAAAAAGACCTGCTCTAGAAGAAAACTGCTACCTCTCCCATAGGTGTAGTGGGTTTTTTGTTTACCTAAAAGATTTAATAAACTCTGGCTGAGGTGACTGGAAGGTTACCTGAGGCCACAGAAATACCAAATAAGCAGTCTGTATAATGAAAAGCTGCCTGGTGAAGTGTGTAACCCAGAAATGTAATAAAGTATTCAGTGAGACTGCATTAATAAGTACAGACATTTTCAGAGATTTTTACTTGGCATTCATTTTTTATTTATTTATTTATTTTTTTTAGAAAGCTATTTCATAGAGAAAATTCTTCTTGGACTTAAGAACAACTGTTATCATTACTAGTACAAAAAATTATTAAACTACAGTAATTTTGCAGTATAACATCCACAGAATACCATTACAGCATACCCTTCAAATTTGCGGGGGTTAGGTTCTCAAACTGTATATTTCCTTTATGTGTTTGCCCTTAGGACAATTATTTCTTTTACCTGTATTGTATATACTGTATGTGTATGTGTGTGTGTAGACACACACACACACATACACACAAAACACATACAAATAAATAATAATGGGAAAATACTCTGACATATAATCAAACTCTAGTACTGTATTAAAAATGTTAAGTCTACCCCGTGCTTTATTAATAACAAAACATGGAGTAGACTTGAGGGCAGACTTAACATTTTTAATACTACATTTGTTTCTGATTATTTGTGAGAGGATTTTCCCATTATTATTTATTTGTATGTGTTCTGTGTGTGTGTAGACATATATACAATACAGGTAAACGAAATTACTGTCTCTAGAACGAATGGCTCCCTGTCCTGGCCGCGAAAATGCCAGTAACTTTAAAACTACCCGCAGACATTCTTGGGTACATCCAGGGTGTCATCCGTGAATAATAGAGGACCGCAAAATAAAAATCCATGAATTATTCGGGTGTGCTGTACAATAATTTTTGGCATCAAAAGTCTGAACATCAACAGACAGCAGATATTATAGATACAGATGAGTTTTTCAATATTTAACAAAACTTACCTGGCAAAACAACTCATGTGAGGGTTTCCTGTCAGGAAACAATGTGTTATAGTGCTCTTGGATGAAATCAGTGGTTACATCTCCTGCTACAAAGCTTGGATGTGAAGCAAGACTAATGAGGAAATCAACATTGGTATTCAAACCCACAATCTGTTGAGGAGAAAATGTTATTATTGATTACTATTAAAAAAATTTGCAAACACTATTTCAGTGAAGTGGAATAGGCACAACAAATATGTATAAGTTAAAAATTATTGATAAATTCTAAGACAATTATCTGCAGCACCGGTATCTTCCTGGCATTTTTCATAGTTTGATATAGCATTTAACTATTTCACAGTTTCACTGCTATTTTGCTTCTCTGGTGATAGGAAGACACCAAACTGTTGAGAACTTACAGATACTATAGTACTGGTAAGAAATTTCTCATGCAAGGATATTGTTGTACAGCATTAATCAACTATTTGACAACCATCAGGAAGATTCCAGTGTAACTTGATGAAGTACAATAATCCCATACCTGCATCCAACATTCTACTCTCACTTAAACTTGCCCTTGCCATGCAACCTTTACTTTACAGTACTGTACTGTATAGTACTACAATCAAGAATCTTATGGGAGACTTAATGAATGACCTATGAGTGCCTGATTGGAAAACCTTGTCAAATTCCCAGAGCCGCTGTTCAAACACTGTACAGAAATTAGCAGATGGTTCTTTTTGTTTTGGTTTTGTATTACAGCAGCCTCAGTTTATTTTGAAACTTTTCCATTTCTTTTTTTTTTTTGTGGGTACCTCAATTATTACCTGGCTTAGCATTTGGCTATCACAATGAAAAAAGATTGATTAAGTTACTACCATTTCTTAATACAGTAATTAGAATGTACAATACTTTATTATCTACACTAAATACTGTGGGTTGTAAAGTGACTATATGGTGCCATTCTGAACATATTCATGGCCAAGAGTTACAACACAATAACTCTAATGTTTACATCTGGGACTGATTTAGTTTCATCCATGGAAACAAATTATTAGAAAAAAAATTTCCTTCCCATTTTTGGAACTTTTTTGTGGGTCACTAGGTCAGTCGGATTGAACATGGCCATGGTGTATTGCTCTTTTCTTCTTTTGTGTGTGTGTGTGTGTGTGTGTGTGTGTGTGTGTGTGTGTGTGTGTGTGTAATTTTCTTAATTTTTAAACCTGTTCAGTGAATGAGGACATATTTCAACCCCCTTACATATATGAACATTTACTCAGATATACTATTCATTTTATCTGAATTCAATTATTATCCTAAATCAATACAATACAGTACTTACATTGTAGTCAGCTAGACAAGTAGTAAGAGAATTGAGAGCATGAATGCGGTCATGGCCCCACACCACAAGCTTGGCTATCATTGGGTCATAATGTACTGACACTTCATCCCCTTGTCTCACACCTGAAATTTAACAACACTCTTAAGCATCTTGATGAGTGAAACAAATTATAAAAAAACTTATCTCATTACTGACAATGACCACTGTATGAAGGGGATAGGGACCTCAAAAAGCCATCGATAAGTGCTTGATTGTACATATCAATATTAATAACTTATGGGAAAAATAGGTTCTGTTCCCGAGCCTCTAAAGAGCCTAAATAAGTTTTATATCCTGCTGCTATTATGATTAAATAATGTCTAAATAACTCAAATAATTTCTAAACATAAAATCAACAAATTTATACAAAATAGAGACAAAAACAATAAATTTATACAAAATTAAGATTTATTTTCATTTACCTTATATGTTATGTATGTGACAGTAGCAAGCTGTAATCCCCCAGCTGTCACTACAAGTAATTTCGGGTTGACATACATAATTTTCTTCAATTTTTTAACTTTGTTACATGCACACACAATCTTTCATACAAACATCACAGGTTTCCCGGTCTCCGGTTTCCTCTTGTAATAACAGTGGACAGAGCGCCCAAATGGCTAGTAAGGTGATAAGTGGTGAAAAAAATAAAAATTAAATAAAAAATAAATAAACAAACTGCAGCTGGTTTGAAAACAGATTCCTTACATGCATTTTTATAAACATTTCATAGTCATGCTGGTTTAATGAATTTGCTGTTGCAACAGGCAGAATGAAAGACAAAGCTCATGTCTTCATCCTTCCCCAACAAGAAAATGGATTTCACATGTGAATAAATTCTTTGTACAGTACTGTACTACTATAGTATGGACAGTACCAAGATAAAATATTCTGATCATAGCCTAAAGAACTCAGTTTAATATTCTAGACTATCAATTCTTAATTTTCTCCAGGACTGTGTAATGGCTATACTGTACAAGCTAATCCCTCTTCCACACAAAAGAAATTACCATATTATATCAACAGGTTTTGGTACAAACTGTATAATTAACATTTTGTCTACTAGCAATACACAGAATTATACAGAAGGAAACTAGTTTTATAATAGGAGTAAATAACTTGGTATTCTTTTACCTGTATCAATCCTCACATGCTGATTAGGGTGTGGGGTAGAGAGGTGGATAAGGGGGCCTGCTCCAGGAAGGAAATCACCCTTAGGATCCTCAGCATATATCCTTGCTTCAAAGCTGTGTCCTGAGAGCTTAATTTCATCTTGTGTTAGAGGCAGAGGTTCCCCTGATGCAACCTGTCCATAATACATATTAACTATGACATATATATACAGTTTATGTGAGGGTTTGAAAATTTTCACCATTTCACTATAGCTCACCAGTACAGCACACTACTGATTCAACAAGAGAATGTGATTGAGAAATGGAAATGTCATGCAATATTGAAAAGTTGCTGCATTCAACAGGTTCATTTATTGATTCAATATTATTATATGATCAACCTCTTATGGTTTATGAGTTATCATAATTAATATATCATCTTCAATCATAAAATAAAATATATTATAGTACAATATATAATTTGTAATTTCAGTTGAAAATAAAATAAACTGTATCGGAAGGTACTCACTCAGAATGCATTCCTAGAAATAGAGCAAATCAGCTTACAACAGCTCATTGTAAAATACCAGATAGTATTTGAGATAGAGATATACATTCTTAACATCATTATTTATTACCATTCATTGATACATTTATGACTTAATTTGTCTACTTGTGCACTTACATAAATAATGAATGAATATCCAGGGAAAATGCAGACATATAATACTACACTACAATACAGGTTGACAACCCTTTATCCGAAATTCCGAAAACAGAAAAGCTCTAAAAACCGAAATTTTTTGTGGGGCTTTTTTTTTTTACAGGGATTAGCCCACCCGGGCATAAATCACTGACTCACATCGAGGCCTGGTGAGCGAAAATGTAACAGTAATAATAATTATAATACAGAGTAATAATAATTATTCATAGTAAATAAGATTTTTAATTAAAATAAGTACAGTACTGTACACCAAAATAAAATAATAATGATAACAATAATAATAATAATAGTAATAATAAAACATAATAAAATAAATGATTATAATAATAACAATAATACTGTAATAAAATAATAATAATAATAAAGAAATAGAAGAATGAAAAAAAAATCAAAAGTGAGAAATGCGACCTAGACCTATGAATTATTATTACAGTATTATTATTACAGTTATTATTATTATAATATTTTCGCCCCCCCCCCAAGGCCCCGATGTGGGTCAGTGATCTATGCCCGGCTGGGCTTATAGAGAGAGAGAGAAAAAAAAAAAAACTAACCATTCTGAAAACCGAAAAATTCCAAATTCCGAAATGCCTCTGGCCCCAAGGATTTCGGATAAGGGATTGTCAACATGTATTATATATTAAGTGCTATTTACTAAGTGGTGAAAACATGTTGTGGTAAGCATGAAAGATGGAGTGTTGTTAACATGGACAGGGAGGGCTAGGACCATCAGTTGTTTGTGCTTTGTATACAAAATTACAGGAATTAAAACGATACAATGACTCATCTGGGGTTTGAGTGTGAGATTTTTTCAGGAAACTTGATTATTTTATGATTATATTATATTTATTTGGCACATATTCGAAATCACCATGCTCAGGAGTACCTATAATGTGATTTTCAAAAAAATCTAATTTTGGGCCCAAACTGTCAAAAATGCAAGTCTTACACCTTAGTAATTTTTCGACCAAAATATACTTTTCTCTCAGAATTAAAATTTAAGGGGTTTAACTAATTAAGTACATACATAATAACACATTAACACCAAAATTGCACTTACAAAACCCATAATTGGAGATAAATTAGCATTGAAATGTGCCATTAAATTTTCCAAGCGTAATTACAATTAATAATTACCCCGCAGTCGAATCATGAACCTCATATTCGAAATCACCAAAAACAGGAGTACCTATAATGTGATTTTCAAAAAAATCTAATTTTGGGCCCAAACTGTCGAAAATGCAAGTCTTACACCTTAGTAATTTTTCGACCAAAATATACTTTTCTCTCAGAATTAAAAGTTAAGGGGTTTAACTAATTAAGTACATACAGAATTACACATTAACACAAAAATTGCACTTAAGAAACCCATAATTGGCAATAAATTAGCATTGAAATATGTCATTAAATTTTCCAAGCATCATTACAACCACTAATTACCCCGCAGTCGAATCGTGGACCTCATATTCGAAGTCACCATGCTCATGATTACCTATAAAGTGATTTTCAAAAAAATCTAATTTTGGGTCCAAACTCTCGAAAATGCAAGTCTTACACCTTGGTAATTTTTCGACCAAAATAAACTTTTCTCTCAGAATTAAAATTTAAGGGATTTAAATAATTAAGTACTTACAGAATAACGCATTAACATCAAAATCGCACTTACGAAACCCATAATTGGAGATAAATTAGCACTGAAAAATTTCATTAAATTTTCCAAGCGTAATTACAACCACTAATTACCCCACAGTCGAATCGTGGACCTCATATTCGAAATCAACATGCTCAGGAGTACCTATAGAGTAGGCTCTCGCCAATAATGTGAAAAACGCCGTTATTAGCGAAACCGTTATTTGTGTGACATTAAAATACATGTAAAAAGGGTTTATTGGCAGGTGGTGCAGCAGAACGAGAACAACAGAAGTTAACTCATGGTGATGTAAAGGAAACCATCGAGTATGCCGAGAGACTCAAGCTCATCCTGTCCAAAGACCCAGTAAATCACCGATATGAAGTCTCCAATAACTGTCTGTTGCAAACTATGGAGCCGTATATCCAGATGTATCACGACCACATCAACGCTAGCCATCAGTGTAACATCACCGAGTTCTTCACCCGCAACCCACCACAGCCAGCCCAAGTCAGTGACAGTGATGGTGACTTTGAGGGGTTTGTCAGGGAGGCCCTGATATCTGTGGTGGATAGTGATAGTGATTCACCTGAGGGCCACTAATCTCCCCTCTGCTTCGGAACCAGTCCCTATCCCCGTGTGCCCAACCATCTCTTCAACTAACATAAGTGATAAACCTTGATTTTTCTTTTACCTGGTACAGTATATTATTCTCTTATTGATATTTCTCTTCTATATTATGAGTGTGTGCATACCATCATAAAATTAAGATACTATTTTTACTACAACGTACGTATTGTGTAGGAAAAAGGGTAGTCTGGGGGTCGGCCCAGTCTCTATTTCAATTAATCCCATATGTTCTGTTATTTCGTTTACGCGTTTCTCGTTTTACACGGACCTCCACGGGTTCAATTGAGCGCGTAAATCAAGACTATACTGTACACTGTACATGTACTCGAATACTGTACTTGTACAGTACTGTACTTCCATTACCCTACCACAGGTTATTTTATCACTTCTCCATATTTTTACACTGCATTTTAACAATTCTCTACATCTGCCATTTTATAAGTTCTTCTCGTCTTTCATTTACTTTTTTCTGGTATTCTGATACACTGTGAATATAATGAAACATGAGGGAAACTGTTAATAAATTCAGGTTCAAGATGTTTTAAGATAATGATTAGCAAGCTGAAAGGAAAATTCCTTCTAAATAAAAGTCTTACTTTCAAGTAATATCTTGTGACTTCATACATAAAATACAACTTACCCTGAGCTGCCATTCTACCAGATCCGTGTTGGTAATCATCTCGGAGATTGGGTGTTCCACTTGCAGGCGGGTGTTCATCTCCATGAAGTAGAAATTATGAGAAGAATCCAGTATAAATTCCACAGTTCCTGCACCAACATAACCTACAGCACGTGCAGCACGTACGGCAGCTTCTCCCAATGAACGGCGAACTTCCCATGTCAGGCCAGGCTAAAATATGACAAAACCATCGTTTCTCATATTCTAATAGCATTAAACAATTAAGTAAACCCCCAAAAAGTTACAAATGTATTGGCAAAAATATAATACAGTAATAATAATAATAATAATAATAATAATAATAATAATAATAATAGAAATTCTTAAAAATTAATAAAAAAAGTAAAAATATATCTATTTGAATAATATATATATATATATATATATATATATATATATATATATATATATATATATATATATATATATATATATATATATATATATATATATATATATATATATATATATATATATATATATACACACACACACACACACACACACACAGTTGTACCCCGCTTAACGCGGTTTCACTTAATGCGATTTCTCATATACGCGGTGACTCGCCAGAACCGAACTTTCACTTAACGCGGTTCATCTACTCATATACGCGGGAAGCGGCGCGGGCACGATGCACACAAGGTCGCCCAGCCATCAAAACATTACCGAGTTCCTCACCCGCCACCCACCACAGCCGGCCCAAGTCAGTGATAGTGATAATTATAGTGAGGATATGGACTTATATGGACTTTGAGGGGTTTGACAAAGAGGCCCTGCAAACCTCTGTGGTGGATAGTGATACAATTGATACAAGTGATACAGGTGAGGGCCAATAATCTGCCCTCTGCCTCGGAACCAACCCCTCATCCCCGTGTGCCCAGCCATCTTTTCTACTAATGTAAGTGTTAAAAAACCTAATATTATTGATATTTCTCTTAATTATTAATTGTGTGTGCATACCATCATAAAGTTAAGATAATATTTTTACTACAACATAGTTGTGTGTCGTCAAAAAGTGGAGTTTGGGGGTCGGGCCAGTCTTTATTGGAATTAATCCCATATGTTCTCTTGTTCACTTAACGCGGTACCCTGTGGGTTCAATTGACCGCGTTAAGCGGGGTATATGTATGTATGTATGTATGTGTGTATATATATATATATATATATATATATATATATATATATATATATATATATATATATATATATATATATATATATATATATATATATATATATATATATATATATATATATATATATATATATATATATATATATATATATATATATAGTGAGAAACAGCATATGTATGTTGTGTTGTCAAAGTAAGAGAAACAATTGAGACCTTGCAATTGTGTGTAAATGAGGCAGGAGTACCTCCCTGTTTGATAGCTGCTTACTACATGCTTGGTACCTGTATACAGTAATTTCCCCGTTAGCCAGAGTAATTGATGCAGAGCGGTTCTGAGTTTGAGAGATTTCTGGATATGTAGATGATTTTCCCATCTCTGGAATAAATCACATCCCTTACACTTTTTCCAGTACCGGTGAAAGATTTCCGGAAGTCTAAACTACGCATCTCATAAGAAGCGATTTAATTGCAGTTGGACAGATACAGAGCTGTAATTAATTATACAAACAACACTGTATACGTACAATATATCGTAAATACAGTAAACAAAATACAGTATACTATTGTACTCACCAGCAGATGCTGCTGTCCTGAGCTTATGATCCAGTGAGGCCAATTGGTGATATGATACAGGACGACCTGCCTTTGTCCGGTACCATCTACTGTAGCAGGTGTTGCAAACTGTCACTCTCCTCTCCCTCCATAAAAGAAGGCTTGCACACACACAGTATATTGTACATACACCCTCCACACACTAGCCAATAGTAAGCATACACTGCCCACTCAGTACTGTACATACAGTATGGTACTTTCACAATTACTGAATGTACAGTACAGTAAACATAACTGCAATAACTTTTTGTCTTAACACCACTTTAACAGTACAGTATTCTTCATTGATTATAAGCTAGTATAGTACTGCACAACAAAGATCGCATGTGATTGTATGTTAAGATTTTCCAGAATTGTTCTTGTAATTTTCAGAAAATGCACCTGATTTTCAACCTCGGAATTTGTTCCAAAACCCATAATTCAGAGAATTTTCCGGAAAAATTCTGAGTAAATTTCAATTCTGGCTATTAGAGAGTTCCGGGTTTAAGGGGGTTCAAGCTAATGGAGATATAGCTCAAGGGCGAATCCAGGGGGTGGGGGGGGGGGTCTGGATCCCCCTTTTCATCAGAAAATTCCAATACTTTTCTTTAACACAGTTTTGTTCTCAGGAATTTTTGTTTAGTAAAAAGTATTTATTATTGACTTCAGAATATCTCCTAATATAAAGTGTGCATGGCTTCAAAATGGCCTCAAAATGCCCATGATATTGGTCAGAATTCAAAAAAAAATTTGGGGTGGGGGGCGTGCGTACAGCGCCCCCCAAACACCCCAGTTGGGTGGACTTGCTGCGCTCGCCATGTTCCCCACCCACAACTTCTTGAACCCCCTTTTTTATATTCCTGGATCTGCCCCTGTTACTAACTACAGTACAGTATACTGTATATACCTGTATATTTTTTCTCAGAAATCAGAATCCCTTTTAACTGGAAGTTTCTGATAGCCAGAATTGAATGTTCTGAGAAAAATTTTTCGTTACCTGGAAAATTCCGGGGATGAGGGAATTTTTTCGGGGTTTGAGAGATGATGTAATGGGCAATTTCTGGAACTTCCGAGAACATTTTTCCGTTACCAGGTTTAAAACCTTTATTTTCGTAACAAGGCTAATGGTCTTATGTTACTTCTTCACAACACTAGCATCAGTAGCACTTGATGGCCACTTGGAAGCCATTTCGAATAATTAAAGTACAGAATTAAGAGCAAAAACACTTAAACATGCACGAACGCTGTGGAAGCCTAAAAAATACTGGCGTCGCTTGGGGACACTATGTGACGTTCCACGAGTGAGAACGTAGCGCGTCAAGATGAGAGGGGGGTGATGGGCTGCACAAAGTAGTCCAAAACGACGTTATAATGAAACGGCGGGACGTTATCCGAATCACAGGTATCTAAAGAATAGCGACGTTATAACGAGGACTTATTGTATATAAACAGCAAGAGCCCTGTAATAACATGAGCCATAAATTCTGTTTTCTATAGGAAGGAAAAAGGGAGAAAAAGGGTCATTACTCATTAGGTCTTTGTGGCCTTGAATGGCAACATTCACATCAATTGGAGACCCATTTCCTTTTCCCCTTTTTTAGGAATTGAAATACCAGGTATGACTGTATAAATACAGTACTGTATAACTATGAAAGCACTGCCACTATGCTCAAGAGAATTACACGGTAGCTCTGTTATGTGTTGACAGTGCATTATTTCAAGGGCTGCATGTAAGTCTGTAGATCACAAAAGACTACATATTACTACATATTATTTTATATTGTATGTGAATCTATTATAAATTTAGTAATTAATATTGAGCAATAACCACTTCAATGCAGGGAGGCAACTTTTAATATTTTATCTGACTAATGACAGACAGTTTATTCAGCTAAGAGGGGGAGCCCTTACACGAGGGATTAAGAGAAAAGTAATGATAAATTCATTGACGCACACATGAAGAACTTACAGCTGGTGCTTCTTCAATAATTTTCTGGTGGCGGCGCTGAACGGAACAATCCCTCTCAAACAAGTAGACATAATTACCATGATGGTCTCCAAAAACCTGTAAAGAAACAGGTACAGGTAGAGTATATATAATTACAACAATGATCCCCAAAACTGTTAAAGAAGCAAATTAAAGGTCCCAAAAGCCTGTTGCGAAATAAGTAATATTATTATGAATAGCATGATGTCCCATTTTAAGATAGAGAGGAAAACACAAATAACCTGCAAGTTATGTACCAGTAAAATATCCCCCGATAAAGCCTGTCTTGGCCAATGAATCAGTTATACCTACTGGCAGGAAACATCATCCAGGTACTCTTTAGAAAACTCTTTCATATTCGACAACTTTTGGACCATAGTGGTGCCAGTTAATAAAAAAAATCCATTTAAGTGAGATATATCTACTTAGGCAATTTATAACACAGAATAATATCAGATGTGAAATGTTTCCGAATGCCTTGAACAATAGAAATTAAGGAGGCCCTGTGCAGAGCTAACAGGGCAGTTGGGTATTGAGGACAATGTCAAAGTTCTGCATAGAGGTAGACTGAGATGGTTCAGGTATGTGCAGAAAATGGATGAGAGCTTCCATAAGGTAATCGAGGCTAATCCATGCAAGCATGGAAAATTACAGTAAGACATTGATATTGATGATGATGATGATGATGATGATGATAATGATGATTGTTCTTCTTGGGATTCAGGACTGCAAATCTAAAGGATGTAAAGGAATACCTCGCAATTTGCAACCCTGCTTATCTGCAATTGATATTTTAACCTCCGTATTCAATATTAGCAAAGCATACCCCACTTATTTGCTAATTAAAAATTACGAGCATGCAGAGGAGACGCTCACCCTACGTCTGTACCTGTACTTCCACACCACAGCATGAACAAACATGCTGAGCATTCTAGAATTCTTCATATGGCAATGGAGTAGAGTACATATAGTACTTCAGACAAGCTAGTTTAAACCCACCCGCCCACCCACCCCCACACACAGTGTTCTTTTGTATTGTTTTTATATTATTGTAGTTATTTTAATGCATTATATTACGGAGTGTACCTGGATATAAAAAAAGAATATTGCTATAAAATAAGAAATATGAAGAGTATGGGTGCGTATGTGTAAAGTGAACAAATGTGTGGATTTGGCATGTTGCCCAATTAGACTGTCCTTGCAGCTAGCTACAGCCTGTATACTAATTTGTCACTGCCTTAATCATTTCTGAGGCTATTGTACCCTGCCACCTCCCATCCTACCTAAACCCGACCCAGCTAACTGAGCCATTCATGCCTCACACGTGCCTCAATATATTTGTCTCTGATACACAGCTTTTAACAATGGATTCTCTTGCATACTCAGGGAAATTCTCAGCAAAATCTTTAATTTTGAGCATAGAATGCTGTTACAGTAAGAGTTGTGAACTGTTGTGTAGTAATGACCTACCAGAGAATGGTGTGATAGTAAGAGCTGTGAACTGTTGTAATAACCAAATTGTATACAGTAGTCCCTCGGTTAACGAACGCCTCGGTTAACGAAATTTCGGTTAACAAACTGCCTCCCATAAGATTCTTAAATTCGGTTAACGAACAAAAATTCGGTTAACGAATTTCTTACGAACCGACCTCAACATGTTTTCGCTTGCACTGGCCGGTCAACTAGCTTTAGTATAAGTCCGCCAATACATTAATCGGTTCTAGGGCTTAAATTCCTTACTATTTTAGTAAATATCAAGAAGTTTATACTATTCAATAATTTTAAAAGTTTAATATTCAATTTTTTAGTCATTTTAACAATTATTGAACATAATTGAAGGTAAAGTGACTAGTTTAATGCGCGGCATCCAGCCTCTTAACACAGCAAACAGGCGTTAGTCTCTCTCTGTTTTCACTGAAGGTAACATCTTGCTTGAGACTCTCTTCAACTAAACGCTTTTTTTCTGTGTTTCCAAGCTGTGGGTTCCTGCAGCGTTAGAGCAGCCCAACACAGTGACACGATCTTTCGATGCCTGTTGGTGATTCTGCATCCTCAGTAGTCAGTGTTCGCCTGGGAGTACAATGCCAATACAGTATAAGGCGGTTTCATCTGCAATGAGACCTGTTCGGGACTTAAATTTTCATCTGAAACTAACCTATCGAACTCATCCACAAACGCAGCAGCTGCTTCCTTGTCTGCCGACCATTTTTCACCACACACTGCACGAAACTTTATCCCATGTCGCTGCTTGAACTGCTGAAGCCACCCTTCAGTATAATCAAACGCATAATCTATTCCTGATTCTGCATGAAATAATTTTGCTTGCTGCCTCACCATCTCCCCGGACAGTTCCACACCTTCACTGACGCAGAGTTTAAACCACTTTATCAGAACTTTATCTAGCTGTGAACATCTTCCATCTTTCAATGTTTTCCTTACGGACATCTGTTTCTTTGATTCACTATCAGCAAAGAACTGGAGCAGCTTTCCTTTCTGTTTTTTTATGTCATACACTGTGGAAGCGCCAATGTTATACAAGTCGCATATGCTGTGAAACAGACACACCACTGTCGCGTTTTTTGAGAAGTTCAACCTTATCTTGTATAGACAACGTATGGTGTTTGCGCTTTACACCATGAGAAGCACTTCCTTTATTCAATGAAGACATGACTGGGGCTAAATAAGAGCAGTTTATAATAATAAATGAAGAAAACCACAGAGAATAACTTGCCGCTCCTCAAACACCTTGCCAACAGCTAAGTCTGCTAGTGGCGCAACCAAAACAGTAGCGGCGGATTGGCGGGGAGACCAGCACGAAATTTGAAATTACGGTGGCCAAATTATGTCCGAACCAGCAGACATAATTTGGAACCGGATTACTGATTGCCGGATATGAGGTGGTCTACCTGTATACAGTTAAATAACTAACAGGCCACGTTACCAACTTTCTCACTTTATATTCCTACAACTATAAATATTATACCTATACTGTATCTTCTATAGGAGTTTTGACTTGTTATGCCTAACACTTGCTTAAACACTGCTCCACAGCTGAACAAATTTAAAATAATTATTTTTATCTTTATTTTTTATTCTGCATACATATGTTCACTTGCATAAGAATACTGTATAACATGTTTTTAAGTTTCTATATTATTGTGTTTATTGCACATGCAGCGATAAGCCAGTTTACCAAAAGTTGCAATCTAAGGGTTAAAAAGGGCAGCAAAAGATACTTCAACTGTTGAATTTTATAGCTCCAGTAAAGATGAAACTGAGTGAATCAAAGATGATAGCCCATGAGGCACTATAAGGTGGTAAGAAAAATTCAACAAATAGAAAACCTGCTGTAGCATGTAAAATTGTATAAGCCCAACACTCCCTCTTTGAACAGTTTGGAAAAAAAAAAATCCTTGAATCTCTTGAGTCTGATGTAACTAAAAAAAATTAAATGGTTATGTGGTCAACTATATGAAATGATTTAGCCAGTATTTATTCCTAACATGAAAACTGGCAATGCACAACTCCTACAGGGGTTACAAAGCAAAGTCCTACAGGGCATAAAAGGACTACTGGTATACTGCATATCTTAAAATATATCACGGGAAAGTCTTTTTGTTACTATTAATCTCAAGTTGGCACCAAAGTCGCATACCTGGACTTCCACATGTCTTGGTCGTTCCACAAATTTTTCTATTAACATTACATCATCACCAAAGGATTTTGTAGCTTCACGTCTAGCAGATTCAAGTTGTGCATCAAATTCTTCTGGTTTCATGGCAATGCGCATTCCCTGAAAAGAAATTAGTGAATATCGTCTGATTTCTAAATAGCTACAAAGGTAAATATGTTGAGAAATTTTTCAAAAAAATTTCTTACTACTGTACTGTATTTTAAACATGTGTCATCAAATGTGGGAGACTTACAATTTCCCACATGATCAGCAAAAGTGAGAATAACAATATTTCATTCTGAAAATAGAAGTACAGGTACAGTTGAACCTTGCTATTCACAGGTGTTAGGTTTTATTAACCAATGCAAATTGTCAAAATCCCTGAATATATACAGTATTGTATTTCAGTACAGGTGTTCCTCAACTTATGAGCAAGTTATGTTCCTGAGGTGTGTTTGTAAGTCCAACTTTACTCTTGTAGATACTGAACAAATTGTAAAAAAACAAAATAAATAAAACAAAATAAATAATAATAATAATAATAAATAAAGGATGTACTTTGTACAGTACAGTTATACCCTACAGTTCAGCCTTAAAACCTGGCATACTCTTCTCTCTTAGGCAATTTATGTTCTATCTGGCATTTTCTTCCAATATAAAGGTCTCATCCACATTAAACACCCACTCGGTCATGTAACCACCTCTCTTTGATGATGTTCATATCTCTGAAAGTTTGTAAATTGAATGTTCGTAAGTAAAGGAGCACTTGCATGTTTTTCTTTAAAATATGCGCATACAATGGTGAAAACCATTAATACTGTAAACAATACTGGGTACTGTACTATGCTATACAGTTGTACTGAACCAATTTGTACATTATGTTAAAGATACTTAAGTCGATACTTATGTCACCCAAAAACACATCCATATACAGTACAGTATGGTGTTTTCAGTATGCTTTTCTGCATGAGTCACGCATAAACACAACTGTATATGGTACTTTCAGCATGTTTTCTGTCAATACGGTACAGTACACTGGACTATCATATTATGGAATGAATATGTTATTGAAAAGGTGGCCGTATCGCAAATATCCATAATGCAGACCATTTTCTTCCATATACTGCTACGGTAGTGATATTCCTGTTAGCCAGAACAATTGGTGCAAAGCTCTTCCGGGTATGAGAGATTTACGGATAATAAGACAACTCTCTCAAACCTGAAAAAATCCAACATTCCCAGAATTTTTCCGGGTAATATTATTACGTATTTTTTTTTTTTTGTATCTTCAAAAATTTTTCTTTATTCATTTTTTCTTTTAACCCCTACGTCCTGGTTGACGTTCCGGAATGATCATCTAGGGCGCCCCGGTTGACGTTCCGGAATGATCATCTAGGGCGCCCCGGTTGACGTTCCGGAATGATCATCTAGGGCGCCCCGGTTGAAGTTCCGGAATGATCATCTCGGGCACCCCGGTTGACGTTCCGGAATGATCATCTAGGGCGCCCCGGTTGACGTTCCGGAACGTACACCTTTTCGCGGCATTGTTTGAATGCCCAGCACGGGTTATCAGGTTCCAGCGTGACTACATGCCTGTCACGCCACAAGCTCGGCCACAGGGAAGCTTCCTGAATGTAAGTACAGTACAGTACCTACTTTTGTTAGTTTAATTTCCATTGTTTGTCCATTTTATCATGTTGTATCAAAGTAATATTGCTAAATGTAGTTTACTTGTATTGTAGTGTAGTATTACTGGAAAATAATGCTGTAATTATGTTATAAATGAATGTATTTGTGGAATTATTATTATTTATATGCATTACTTGCTCTACCAAACACAAAGACAGCCTGGCGACAGACTGTGTGTGTGTGTGTGTCGCCGAGCACTTTTTATGAAATATAATGCAAATAAAATCAATTATTAATGAATTATTTATAGGAAATAAGTATTATGATCAGTAAATATATGCATTACTGACCATCCCAGACACAAAGACAAGCAGAAAATGGCTGCTAAGTGTGTAATGACCACGAGCGTCAGCTGTCAAAACAACACTGTCCCCTTATCTCCCTCACCACTACTGCCACAGGGAAGTTTCTAGAGGGTCAATATATAGTTTTTCTTACTTATTTTTAACTGTTTTATCATTTAAAAAGGTTAAAAATTATTTTTGGAAAAGTAGATATTTCTCGATTTACCCCACATGAGGGTACAGCCAGCGGCACCCTAGCCCAGGGCATAGGAGTTAAGGGAATGAACCTCTAACCATAAAATCTTGAACAGCAAGGGTCTACTGTTGAGACACTCCTTGTGTTACGGATGACTCAGATCGCAGATTTTTTACTTTACGGATACTCTCCCATAAGTCCTATTTAAAATGAGCGGCAAGTAATTCCTGGGCCGAGTTGGGATATTTCAAACCATACCACACTTATGTTATGCTATGTTATGTTATGTTATGATTATTTTCTAACTCATAATTTTGGATAGATTTATGTACTTTTCTTTTTGTTACTGTACATACACACTGAATCTTGCATACAGAAAGTGTAAAATAATAAAAGAAATACTGGAAACCATCATAAGTATACAGTCGGCCCTTAACATATGCGGGTTTATAATACACTGATTTGCAAATACGCGTATTGCCCCGCCAGAGGAATATTCTGTACATTGAAGTAATTGAAGTACATTCAAATCGCGCGCCATTCAACTTGCGTGCGGCACCGAACACGGGACACCGCCCGCTCCCGCAACCTCACACACACACGCATAGCTCTCCCTCACTCAGTCAGTCTGGCTGTAACCACGCTTGTGTTGACATCAGCATTGTAGTTGCAAAAATATTACATTTCCGAGAATGTATTATATCAAGCACAGTATGAATAGAATATCACTAATATAAGAGTATTTTAACCGAAAACTACTAAAAAAAACGAGTAACATATCTTGAACATTGGAAGGTTAGGTAAAGTCTTTTGTTTTCATGTAGTTTATCCTAATTTACATTGAAATGCATTACGTTTCAGCATAACTACTATTTATTTCTGAGAATATGGAAATGTAATATTTTGCTGAAATGACGTACGTATTACAGTGGAAAGTGACGAAAGCAATGACTCGCTTTCTTTCGTTCAAAAGATGTTACCGTAATCGCTTTTCGAATGGTTTTCAGTTAAAAAACTGTTGTATTACAATAATATTCTATCCTAATTCACTTGTGATGCAACAGTTTTTTTAACTGAAAACCATTCGAAAAGCGATTACGGTAACATCTTTTGAACGAAAGAAAGCGAAAGTCATTGTTTTCGTCACGATTTTATCCCACTTTCCACTAATACGTACGTCATTTCAGCAAAAATATTACATTTCCGTGAATGTAGTATATCAAGCACAGTATGAATATAATATCATTGTAATATAACAGTATTTTAACCGAAAACTATTAAAAAACGAGTAACATCTCTTGAACATTGGAAGGTCAGGTAAAGTCTTTTGTTTTCGTCATGTATTTTATCATATTTTACATTGAAATACATCACGTTTCAGCAAAACTACTATTTATTTCTGAGAATATATTCATTCAGGCACAGTTTAGGTAAAATATACATGTGCTGTAACATTTTTTTAATTGAAAACGATTCGAAAAACACGTACCCTCTAGCCCTGTTCAAGGAGAAGACTGGGAGGAGCTGTTTGGTGCTTAAGACGATGACAAGGAAAATTATTTTGATGGATTTTAATGAAAATATTCAGAAAGACCCTGGCATTGTCAAGGAAAGTGGCTGCTGAAGGCTTCCAGGACATGGCAGTGGACGAAATTAGGGAGCTAATTGAAGAGCACGACACTGAGCTGACCGAGGAGATCTACAGGAGTTAGTAGACTCAGGCAAGGAAGAGGAAGCGAAAGGGAAAGAGGATGAGGAAGAGCACCAAGAAATAATGTTGGAGAAGTTGGGGGAGATGACCAGGAATATTGAGGCACTGAAAAACCTGGCCTATAGTATGGACCCCTCCATGGTGCGTGCCCTGAAATTCATGCGAGGGATGGATGACGTTTTCGCTCCATACAAAAACATCATGGAAGAAATGAAAGATGGAGACGACAACTCCCCATCACCATGTTCTTTGATCACCGAAGGAGAGATTTAACACCATCAATCACTGGCGGCAGTGAGGAAGCAGCTGAATCCACCGTTGTCCCCACTTCACCACCCGTTATGGAATTGAGTGACGATGAGCCCGATGACCCCCGTCCTGTCGCCGAGGATAGGTACTGTACAGTAAAGTGAAATTTTTATCTCTTTTTTTTTAATAGCTTTTCTTGCCATGTTTATTGTTTGTAAAAATGCACAGCACAGTACAGTTCAGTACTGTACATAGGAAGTGGAGGTGCAGTTATTCATAAAACATTTGTGTTCGTTGTCGGCAGTAGTGATGGTGAGGAGGTGGAGGAGGCAGAGGGGGTGGAGGAGGCCGAGGAGGTGGAGGAGGTAGAGGAAGGAGCGGAGGGAGCGAGTTGGGAGGAGTGGTGACCTTGGACGCGGGAGCAGGGACGAGTGGAGATACCAGCCAGTACATTACGGGTGTATTAATTGTTTTTATAGCTATTTTTGCATTTTAATGTTAAATATTGTACATTACATTTCAACAAAACTACCATTTATTTCTGAGAACATGGAAATGTAATATTTTTGCTGAAATGATGTATGTATTACAGTGGAAAGTGGGATAAAATTGTGACGAAAGCAATGACTTTCTCTTTCTTTCGTTCAAAAGATGTTACTGTAATCGCTTTTCGAATGGTTTTCAGTTGTGGGATTATAAGGCTACTGATAGGATAGAATATTATTGTAATACAGTCCGAGTACAACAGTTTTTTAACTGAAAACCATTTGAAAAGAGATTACGGTAAAATTTTTTGAATAACGAAAGAAAGCGAAAGTCATTGTTTTCATGATTTTATCCCACTTTCCACTGTAATATGTACGTCATTCCAGCAAAAATATTATATTTCCATATTTATTTCTGAGAATACCTATATTCATTCAGTCACAGTTAAGGTAAAATATACTTGTGATGTAATATTTTAATGAAAATACGGTATCGTAGTTTTCTT